TGGATGGATGGATGGATGGATGGATGGATGGATGGACGGATGAAGGAGGAATGGATGGATGGATGGATGGATGGATGGATGGATGGATGGATGGATGGAGGGCTGCAGGTGGTCGCGGGGGTCCCCCGGGGCCGCTCCCGTCGGGGGGAGCCGCGCCGGGGCCGGCGGGGGCGCGCTGGGTGCAGTTCCCGCCGTGGCCGCTGGAGGGCGCGCGCCGCCCGCCGGCCGAGCGGCACCGTGGGGGGGGGCGCAGGGAGACCCCGGGATTTGGGATCGGATTTGGGATTTGGGATCGGATTTGGGATTTGGGATCGGGATTTGGGATTTGGGTCGGGATTTAGGATTGGGAGCGGCAGCTGCGGCCTCAGGAGCCGCTCCCACCACGGCCCATCCCGTCCCCACAGCAGCTGAGACCTCCTGTATCCCCGGGATTTGGGATTTGGGGTTGGGATTTGGGGTTGGGATTTGGGATGAGCGGCCTCGGGAGCCGCTCCCACCACGGTCCCTCCTGTCCCCACAGCAGCTGAGACCCCCCCGCAGCCCGGGGAGCGCGGCCCGGGCCCCCACGGCAGCAGGGGATGCTCTGCTTCGCCGGGAGCCGCTGCGGGGACGGAGCACGGCGAGTCCCTGCCTTGGATGCTGCGGGCTTTAACCCAATTAACTGAACAAACAAATTAATTAAAGCGGCGGGGAGAGCTCGGCGCCTGCTGCGGGGAGAGGGATGCAATTCCCGGTGCCAGCGAAGTTTTCCCCGCGTCCCCCCGGGCTCGGGGTCCCTGTCCCGGCGCTGTCCTGGGGGGGCACCCGGGGATGCCCATCCTGGCACTGCCCAGCCTCAATTTCGGCTCCTGTCCCCCCAAAATCGCCCGCCCGCCCACTTCCAACACGTCCCTGTTGTTTAAACCCAGCCGAATTTGGTGCTCCAACTATTTCACCCCAATTTCCTAAATTTTTCTAACTTTTATACATTTTTCTTTAATTTTTTTTAATCCCGTGTTTTCTACTTTTTCGCGTGCAACGATCCCGAATTTAATTCACTTTTCTGTTGTAAGGGGGGGGGAAATAAAAAAAGAGAAATATCGAGGCGAACGGCTGTTACAAACCACAGCTTAAAAAGCATCTGGGCTGTATTAGTGGCTGATAACTTTTTACGGGCATGGCAGAGATAAGAAAAGTTATTTTACTGATG